GGTTCTGTGTGTGTGAGTTTGTGAGTGAATGTATTTTTTGTTTAAATTTAAATATATATTTTTTTTATTAATAAAAAAAAAATTATATCCCCCCCCCTTCTTACCTTTATCCTGGGAGGGGGGGAGGAGATCCGTTCTGCCTGGGGTGCCATGAGGGGAGCCGTGCTGCCTTCCCTGGTGGTCCAGTGGTGAGAGTGAACTCTAACCTTCGGGTTAGAGTTCACTCTCGCGAGATCTGAGTGTTGCCATGGTAACCGCAGCAACGCTCAGAATCCTGCAAGAGGACATGGCGGAGCTGCTGGTTAGAGCTCCGCCGGTCCTCTCCTGCCTCCCTCCCTCCCCAGCTGGCGGCCGCCTGTAACAGTGCCTCTGGGCTGGTGAGGGAGATTTTTGATCTCCCCACCGGCCCATGGAGGCACACAGCGGATAGCGCTGGCCCTGCAGGGGCCGGCCGGGGAGATCCCCTGCCGGCCTCGGCCCCATGGCCATCGCGGCCCACCGGGCATTTGCCCGGTATGCCCGATGGCCAGTCCGGGCCTGCCTGGTAGCGGTGAGGAAGCTGACCTCGCAAAGATACTTTTTCAGCATATAGGAGATCCTTCATACACACTAAACATTCAGCATTAAAAGCAGTGGTGTATCCTGGTTTTGTGCTGCCCTAGGCCTAGACCCCCACCCATCCCTTCCCCCCGCCCCACCTTCTAAACACACACACACATTCACTGACAGATACGCATACACTAGCTAACAGAAACACATACGCACTGACACACACACTCACTCACTCACTAGCAGACACACACTAGCAGGCACACACTCACTGACACACACACTCACAGGCAAACACACACACACAAACAAACACACTCACTCACTAGCAGACACACACACTCGCTGAAACACACACTCACTAGCAGACACACACACACACACACTCACACTAACAGTCAGACACACACAAAGTCAGACACTCACTAACAGACACACACTAACAGACACACTCACACTCACTCACATTAACACATTTTTTTTAAACCCCCCCCCCCCAGCCTCCTTACCTTTGGGAGTGCTGGGGGGGGAAGGGCTTCTCTATTTCCCTGGGGGTCCAGTGGTTGCCGGGCTGGCGGCTGGCGAGGGAGCACTTCCTCTGAGCTGTCTGCTCAGCTCCCTCGCGTGCCGCAGAGTGAGGCTGGGAGCCGGAATATGACGTCATATTCTAGCTCCCAGCCTCACTCTGGCGTGAGAGGGAGCTGAGCAGACAGCTCAGGGGAAGAGCTCCCTTGCCAGCCTCCTGCCAACGCCGCCCGCCCAGCCCAGCATGTCAGTTAGCCGCAAGGCTAACAAGGCATTTGCCCTGGGCATTTGGGGGTGGCTTTTTTTGCTGCCCCCTGGAAAATGCCACCCAAGGCAAATGCATTGTTTGCCTCGCGGCTAAAACGTCCCTGATTA